GCCCGGTCCATTCCTTTTAATGGCTGAATAATATTCCGTTGTTTATATACACCACTTTTTGTTTATCCATTCATCTGTCCGTGGGTATTTGACTATTGTGAATAATGCTGCTATGAATATTGGTGTAAAGTATCTGCTTGAGTTCCTGCTTTCAATTCTTTTGGTATATATGTAGGAGTGGCATTGATGGATTATATGGTAATTCCATGTTTAGATTTTTGAGGAACAAAATTCCTTTTTATGTACTTTTTTAAATTGAGGTGAAATTCATATAACATAAAATTAACCATTTTTAAAGTGTATGTTTCAGTGGCATTTAGTACATTCACAATGTTGTGCAATCAGCATGTCTGTCTAGTTCCATCTTCATCACCCCCAAAGGGCACCCCATGCCTATTAAGCTGTCACCCCTCGTTCTCTCCTCCCCCAGCCCCTGGCTACCACTAATCTGCCATGAAGTTTGCTTGGTGCTTTGTTTGCATGGTAGTCTTCACCAATGCCCAATTCTGTTCTCCACTCCGAAGTGAGACTGCTGAGGCTTGGAGAAACCATGTCAGTTTCTTAAGACCACAAACTGAAGACTGGCCAAGCCTGGTTTGGAAACTGGGAATCTCACTCCTGGTTCTGAGCTCTGTTCTCTGAAGACGGGGAGAGCTCTGTATCCCAGAGCTGCCAGAGAATTCAATGTGAGGGATAACTAACACAAGCTGCTGACAAACATGATGGTTTGTTCTGTGGGATAGGGCCAGAAGATGGATCTGGAAACTGAACAGTTCCAGGAGCAGGATTTAGGACAGAAGGGTATTTGCAAAGGTTTTGGAAGGCAAGAAAGTGCTGGTTAGCTTCCTGGCTTTGATACATTCATGCCAACTAACTTTCAGCAAATGATTTTGCATCTATTTTAGACCTGACAGTAACCTGTTCAACTACAGCTCTGTGAAGGGGGATAAAAGGGGAGTTGGCCATTCACCAAACAACACATCCATGCCTTTGTTGTTCCAAAGCATGTGCAGACATGTTAATGTTAATCTGCTATCGTCACCTAAACCAGTGGTTCTCAGCAGGAGATAATTGTTCCTTACAGAGGACTTTGGTCAATGTCTGGAGACATTTTTTGTTGTCACAACTGGAGTGGTAGGTACTGTTGGCATCTAGTGGGTAGAGGCCAGGGATGTTGCTAAACATCCTGCAATGCAAAGGACAGCCCCCCATCAACAAAGGATTGGTCCCAAATGCCAATAATGACAAGGTTGAGAAACCCTGACTTTGGTTAATGTCTTCGAGGCAACGATAATATGGAAATTTCAGATATTAATTGAAAATGCACAAGTATATAATTGTAGATATGTGGTCTGCAGTATAAAGACATAGACCTTGGAGATCTGATAACAGGCATGGAAGTTCAGGTGGTATGTGAGGATGAATAGGAATTGCCTAGGCAATGTGGATAGGTAGGGTTGGAGCATTGCAGATAGAAGGAGAAATGGGAAGAAAGGCCCTGATTCAGTAATGTATAATGAGACAAGGAGAAACTAAATTAAGGCCAATGTGGGTGAGGCTCAGAGGCTCAGAGGGAGAGTGGAAGATGTATTGAGAGAGTAGACACGAACCAGGGTGGGCAGGGACTGGTAGGCCTGAGGAGGTTGGTGGGCTTATCTCAAGAGAGACTATTGAGGAGTTTTAAGAGAGAGATAAACGTATTTGCATTTTAAAGACATAAAAAATTCAGACTACATTCTTTAGAGCTGGAAGAGAGAGGACACAGTGGACATGGGGCTCACACCCAGTAGGAGGCCAAGGCAGGAGCTGGGGTGGTAGAGTATGTAGTTGTACTTTAGTACCACCCCTTGCATACTACTGTGGCAGCACTGTGGAATACACAGAACATGCAGCAGGGCTGGACTGAGGCAGCTTTGAATGAAGCGAAGTGAATAGACTGGTGAAATCAGGTTGTGAAAACAAAATAGCTTCGACAATAGGGAAGGAAGCTGGACAAAGAGGAGTCCTGACTTCCTCATTCTTGCAGCTGCATGCATTTGGTAAATGATTTCATCTTTTGTGGACAGTCCAACAGAGAGGCAAAGGAATCCAGGTCTGAGCGTTAATGAGTCTGAAGGGCCTGGAGATACCAAAGTGAGATAGAAATTATGCAAGGGAAACACGGCAGAGACAACCAGAGTGGAGAATGAAAGTGGAATCTGTCTGGGCGTCAGACCATCCCCCTAGTCCTTCTAACCCAGAGCTTCCATGAGGGTCTAAGGGGCTGGGGAAGATTTAAGGGACACTTACCTTCCTGTGCTTGAATCGTCTGGCCCAGACAGAGTACTGGAAGAGACAGATTCATGAAAAAAATCAACCGTCCAGTTTCCAGCCTCTATTATGAATCACTGCACATATGGACATGGAGAATAACATGGGGTTCACACGCATTATTTTTTTTCCACAGCAAGAACAGTTTTGAGGCTCATCTTTTAATTTTATCTTCTGGATTCTAGCCTCTGAGTCTCTCCTTTATAGGAACTCTGGAATCGTGGATTCCAGAAAGCATGTCATGGATTAAATAGAAACAACTGAGACTCACAAACTAGCTTGGACTTGGGCAAAGGCAGAGTTATAGCTATCTGGGCAAAGACTGTCTCTCCAGTAAGGAGGTAAGAATGTCTTTGGTAGCCACTAAAATCACTGAGTCCTCATGCTAAGAGAGACTCTGATTGTTTGGAGATCCTCCAATCCTCCCCTCCAACCCACTTTTATTTCTGAACTCACCAAGACAGAGGAGGATGGTGGTATCTTTGCAGGCCATGATGCTGACACAGTCTCGGCCTGGTTAGCCTACTGTTGGTGTACATTAGCAGGATGACAGATACTCACAAGACAGTAAGATCCACAGGAAGTATGACATCAAGAGTCCCTCATCAGAGAATTTCTACATCTGTTGCCCCATAGATATAAGAACAGTTACTTCCCAAACAACTTAATTCTGGTTTGCCCTTGGGTTATTCTGGGTTGTTCTCCAAGAGAAGACCTATATTTCTCTTTATGTTTCAGATGAGACACAAGTGTTTCTCTCAAACCAGTATCTAATGGTGTCCAAATCCATCTTTGAACCAGATCCCACATCCATATGGAAAGGCCTGGGATGGAATACAAGGTGGATACCATATAGATAGAGATTTTCTTCATTGAACCATCAGTCAGCCGGAAGCGGTGACTCACACCTGTAATCCTAGCACTGTGGGAGGCTGAGGTGGGAGGATCACTTGAGGTCAGCAGTTCCAGAGCAGCCTGAGCATGAGAGAGACCCATCTCTACTAAAAAATAGCGGGGCTGGGGGGAGGGCAGAAATTAGCTGGACAACTAAAAAAAAAAAGGAAAAAGAAAAAATTAGCTGGACATGGTGGCAAACACCTATAGTCCCAGCTACTTGGGAGGCTGAGGCAGGAGGATTGCTTGAGCCCAGGAGTTTGAGGAGGCTGATACCATGGCATTCTAGCTCAGGCAACAAAGTGAGACTCTGTATCAAAAAAAATAAAAAAGGCAGAAAAAAAAAAGAACAAAGCTGGAAACATCACATTGCCTGACTTCAAATTATACTACAAGGCTACCATAACAAAAACAGCATGGTACTGATATAAAAATAGACCACATAGATCAATGGAACAAAAGATAGGGAACCCAGAAATAAAACCATATACTTATAGCCAACTGATCTTTGACAAATTTGACAAGAACATACACTGGTGAAGGACACCCTTTTCAATAAATACTGCTGGGAAAATTGGATTGCCATATGCAGAAGAATGAAACTGGGTCCCTATCTCTCACTATATACAAAAATTAACTCAAGATGAATTAAAGGCTTGAGTGTAAGACCTGAAACTATAAAAATACTAGGAGAAAACCTAGGGGAAACTCTTTTGGACATTGGTCTAGGCAAAGAATTCATGACTGAGACCTCAAAAGCATAGGCAACAAAAACAAAAAAATAGACAAATGGGACTTATTTAAACTACAAAGCTTCTACACAGCAAAAGAAATAATCTGTGGAGTGAACAGAAAACCTGGGGAATTGGAGAAAATATTTGCAAACTATACATCCAACAGGTGACTAATATCCAGAACTTATAAGGAACTCAAACAACTCAACAAAAAACTCCCCAAATCACACCATTAAAAACTGGGCAAAGGAAATGAATAGATGTTTTTCAAAAGAAGACAAGTGGCCAACAAGCGTATGAAAAAACGTTCAACATCACTAATCATCAGAGAAAAGCAAATTAAAACCACAATTAGATATCATCTTACACCTATCAAAATGTCTATTTTTAAAAAGAAAAAAAATAACAGATGTTGGTGAATATGTGGAGAAATGGGAAATCTTATAAACTGTTGGTGGGAATGTAAACTAGTGCAACCTCTATGGAAAACAATATGGGGATTTCTCAAAGAACTAAAAATAAACATACATTTCAATCCAGCAATCCCACTACTGTATATCTGCCCAAAGGAAAAGATATTAACATAAAAAATGATACTGACACTCTTATGTTTATCGCAGCATTATTCACAAGAGCAAAGATATGGAATCAATCTAAGTGTCCATCAATGGAAGATTGGATAAAGAAAATGTGGTATATATGCACAATGAAATACTATTCAGCCATAAGAAAGAATGAAATCATGTCCTTTGCAGCAACATGGATGGAACTGGAGGCCATTATTTTAAGTGAAACAACACAGACACAGAAAAGCAAGTAACACATGTTTCTCACTTAGAAGTGGGAGCTAAATAATGTGTACACATGGAAGCGGAGTGTGGAATGATGGACAATGGAGACTTGGAGGGGTGGGGGGTGTTTGGAGGAGGGTGGATGATGGCAGGTTGCTTGGTGGGTACAATGTGCTTTGCTTCAGTGACGTATGCACTGAAGGCCCTGACTTCACCACAACGCAATATATCAATGTAGCAAAATTACACTAGTATCCATAAATATACACAGATAATAAATGGAAAAAAATATAAAAAACAAACACAAATACACCCATGTATATATACAATCACTTTGTATTTGAAAATGGCTTCAGTGTGGTTTAAGGTGGAATGGAATGTCTTTTCAATAAATGGCATTGGGCCAAAGGGTTATGTGTAGGGAAAAAAAGAAATCTACATCCATTGTCACACCGTACAAGAAGTTTTTATTTTTATCATATCATTTAAATTCTTTTTATATTTACTTTTTTAATTCACAAATAAAAATTGCACATAGTCATCCCTCGGTATCCATGGATTTGTTTCAGAACCTCCCTCAGATGCCACAATCTGCAGATACTTACATCTCTTATGTAAAATTGCACAGTATTTTTCATATAATCTACCCATATCTTCCTGTATACTTTAAATCATCTCTAGGTTATTCATAATACTTGATACAATGCCTCCATATCACTTCGTTTGCATGGAATCAATATAGTACTTGGCACGTGGCAAATTCAAGTTTTGGTTTTTGGAATGTTGTAAATTTTTTCTGAATATTTTTGATGTGTAGTTGGTTGGATCTATAGATGCAACTCACAGATGTAAAGGATTGACTGTATATTTATAATGTACGACATGATGCTTTGATATATGACCTCATGGAGATGGAAACAATTACAATGAATGACCCTGCAAGTGTCTCCTCTAAAACTCAGTCGCTTTTCCCGCAAACACTAAGAATCTTCACTTGCTTATTTGGCAAGTGATCCCTGAAGCCTCTTAATGCGCTGCATCCTTGGATGGAAACTTACGTCCCAGAGACAAATCAGACTCCGTCCTACTTCAAGAAGCTCACAGCCCAGAGATGAGAACCCAGTGGAGACATTTGGGGTAATATGTACATAGTAATAGTAACACGTAAAAACTGTAGGCAAAAGAGAGGCACCTTACCTAAAGCAAGAGGTGAGAAAATGTTTCTTTGAAGACGAGAGGTCTACAGTGAAATAGTAAAAAAATACAGACATGTTCCTGGTGACAGAAGACTGAAAAATAGCATTCAGGGAAGGCAGACTAGAATGTGTTTAAGTCCAGTGTTAGGAGTGAGCATTTTGCCTGTATAAAATTGTGAATTACTCAGTGTGGTTAACTTCAAGGAGGACTAGATAGTACAGCCAGTTAGGTTGTGGAGATTGGCAAGGGACAAGTAAAATAGAGAATTAAGAGCTAATCAAAGGACTTTGTTTTCTCTCCAGTAGACTATTGGGACCATGGAAGTTTGTCAGCAGGAGAGAGCCATGTTCAGACTCCTGTCGTGATGAACAGGATTGGCCAAAGATGAAGAGTTTTGTCTTCAGATTCTGGCTGTTGTTACCTTGGCGCTGTCAAGCTGGGTTTGAGAAAGAGCTGTGGCCTCCATGGAAGACCTCAAGGTCTTTCTGTGCATGCTCTCATGGGACAGGAGACAACCCTCGATCCAGGCTTAGCATTTTGCGAGTTCCACGTACACAGTGGTGTCCACTGAGGGTTCCTTGGGCCTCTGGGAAGTGGGAGTGATTTTCTTCTGTGTGAAAATCTGATGATCCAACTGTGCGTATGTCACTTCCTCTGGGTCTTGTCCATTGGAGTCCTGGAAAGAGGGAAATGTGCAGTCAGAGCGAGTGCACACCTTCCCCGGGACCATAGGAAATACAGATTTATTGAAGAGGCTGGGCTGAGGAGAACCCACCTCCCAGTTCCCTGTTCTGTCCACCTCGGGCTCTCTGTCCATCGTAGCAGCACCTGTAGGGGACAGAAGTCATCGACACACCTCACAGGGAACTCCCGTTCCTCATTCATATGCAGATATCAACACACAGAGAGATGTCCTGGGTGGCTGTGATTGCTCTTCTGCCAAAAAGCAGAATCACGTCTTCTACTTCTGTGAGTTCAGGGACCCATCCCACTAATCGCTCCCCGTTTGCAGCCCACTGATTCTCTCTCCTGCTCTCTCCCTTTTGCGGAATATTCTCCTAGATATCCGTGGCTGCACTGGATGTGAGGACACAGTGAAGAATGATTAGACAATGGGCTGTGAGCTGTGGAAGGGGGCGGGGGGCCCTGGGGTTCTCTCTAGAAAGTCCTACCTCTGTGGCTTCTGCCTGGGACCAGGTGTCCTCCAGCAAACGGAGAACACACACCTGTGTACGCCCACCCCAGTTCCCCATGCTGCTCAGATGTCCCTGGCCTCTTCTTCCTGAGACTTACTCTTCTGAGCAGAGCACCTGCGATGGATGAGGAAGAAGAGGAGGATGGCAAGGAGGACGATGACCACTGAGGGCCAGATCAGAGCATGCAGGTGCCACAGGTCACCTGGAGGAAGATGTAACTCCAATAAGAGGCAAATCATAGCAGCTCCCCTTTATGCATTGCATCCCACTTATTGTCAGGTAATTACATACAATACCTTTTTAGGACAAGTTCCCAGTTGGCCAATAACCCAACCTTTTCTCTCTTTCTTGCTTGTAGATCTCAGGATAACTGTAGAATGTGCCACACTAGAACTGCTATAGTTTGGATGTTTGTCGCCTCCAAACCTCATGTTGAAATTTGATCCCTGATGTGGGAGATCTGGCCCAGTGGAAGGTGTTTGGGGCATGGGGATGGATCTTTCATGAAGAGATTAATGCCCTCATGAGGGTGGTGATGAGTGAGTTTTCCTTCTATTAGTTACCATGAAAGCTGGTTGTTAAAAGAGCCTGGCACCTCCCTGCTCTCTCTCTTGCTTCCTCTCTTGCTGATCTCTGTGATCTCTGCATATATCAGCTCCCCTTCTCCTCCTACCATGAGTGGAAGCAGCCAGGGGCTTCATCAGACTCAGATAAATTACCCAGGCTCAGGTATTCCTTTATAGCCACACAAACGGACCAAGACAACAACCTCCTGCGATAAGGTGGGACTGACCAGGACAACCTGGCCTCTGTTCCTTTCCTTCGTAGAACAGGGTGTCCCACGATGCTTTAACTCAGTGGTTCATGGAGCTCTAGGGTACAAAACCCAGGGCAGGCTGCCATCTAGGTTCCCTCAGTTGTGGTGCAAATGGGCTGACTCCATCTGCCCTGGGCAGCTTTCCTGAGCCGTGGGGGCTGGCTCGCCATGAAGCTTGCCTTTTGTGTTCCCTCTCCGCTTATCTGTAAGTAATAAACCTGCCTATGTAACTTGTGTGTGGTGTTGTGTCTCATCGGATGTGTGCAGGTGACAGGACTGGCACAGCCCAAGGTGCAGTGTGTGAGGCGTTCGGAGTCCTCCCCTGGGACTGACACCAGCGCACAGTGAACCTGCTTCACAAATGCTGCATCCGCAACACCCTTGAATCAAACAAATTATTAATACATTCTCCAATAAAAGGAAAAAAAGTGAAATTCAAGTCAAAAGAGGTGGAGTTGTCTTATGTCATATAGCCAGGAAATGGTGACAAATCTGCTGCTCACCCTAATTTGTCCACTAAGCACTACCTATCACTTTATTCCAAATTTCATGCAAGCTGCTTCGCAACTGACCATTCATTCATCCATTCCCATATTCGTTTACTCATCCCTTGGTCCGTTCATTTTCTGCCTTCCCAAGAACTGTGCTGCAATATCAGCTTCCCCAGAGCAGGCGCCAAATGCATCGTGTTTACTACTTGCAGTAGACAGAAGAATGCTCCCTTTTCCAGAAACATCCATGTCCTGATCCCCACAACTTGTGGATATGTTATATTTCATGGGGAGAAAGAATTAAAGTTGCTAATCAGCTGACCTTAAAGAAAGTTATCCTGGGTTATTTTAGGGAGATTTTCCTCGATTGTCTGGGTGGACTCACAAAGTCCTTAGAAGGAGGAAGGCAGAGGAAGAGTCGGGAAAGAGGTGTGATTAAGGAGGAAGCGTCTCAGGGAGGCAATGTGAGTTACATGTGACCTTGAGGAAGGAGGATGCGGATGATGAGCAAAGGATGGCGGGAGCCTCGAGAAGCTGGAAAAAGTGAGGAATTATTAATAGGTTCTCCCCTGGAATCTTCATGAGCAATGCAGCCTGGCTGTCACCTGGATTTCAGCTCAGGAAGACCCATTTCAGACTTCCGACCTGCAGAACTTGTGAGATAATTTAAATACTGTTGTTTTAGTCCAGTCGTCTTATGGAAATTTATTATAGCAACAATAGGAAATGATTGCACAGGGCATACCCAGCACTTGGAACAGTGCCTGAGTCAGTTAACGGAAGCCTTACGTGTGTGGATGAACTCAGTCCTCTCTTGCTGCAAGGCTCTTGCCCTGCTGGGGACACCAGGGTTGTGCTCTGCCACACAAGAGCTCATCCTCTGGCAAATGGAACTTCTCTAAGAACCGGCCCACCCCCACCAGGCATTCCCTGCCCTTCCCTCCCTCAAGCCCTCATGACTCTCTCCTTTAGTTAGGAATGGAGACAGAAGAGACGCTGCATTGTTCCTGGGAAGGGTGTCAGGCTTACTGTCATCCTCCTTGCTTGGAGGAGGACTCAGCTGCAGCAAATTGGAGATTAAGAGCCCCGTGCTGGCCCCAAGCCCCTTCTGCTGTTGTGGAGTCTGACAGTCCACGAGGGAACCGACCAGCGCAAGATCACTGAGTGGCTGGACCCGCACTCAAATCCAAGCAGAGATAAGAGGGGTCCTCGACTCACCAGTGTTGGAGCTGGGTTCTGTGGGGGGAGGGCGACTAGTTGAAGAGTTTCCTAGAACACAGGACAGGAGAGAGGTGAGGAAACAAGGCTGTCTGTCCTCTGTCCTGTTCAAACTCCTTTGAGGTTGGTCCGTGGCCAACACTTTGTCATCTAATGCTGAGCCCTGGGAGTCCTGGGATCCCCTTGCCCACAGTCCTTTCGGGTGAGGACTCCTTTCCTGAGACTCCCAGCTGTGAGTGGGGAGAGGGGATGCTGGAGATGAGGCCTCCGTAGGGGAGAGGTCAGGAGGGGCCTCTGCAAAATGCGTAAGGGTGAGGGGCTGCTGCAACCTCTGGTCTCCCCTAACGAAGCTTCGTCTCCCCTCCTCCTGGATCTCTCCTGACCCCTTTCTCCACCTGCCTGGATACACAGAAGTGCCCCTAATGTGGGCATTTGCGAACGATATGAAGGAGCATCTGGAGCTTCCCTGTCTACCATCCTACGCTCCGATACCACCTCTAATACTCAGTCTTTTTTCCTTCTCTCCATATTTCTCTGTGCTTGTTTCGCTCCACCATGAGCAAGATGTTCCCCAGATACGGTTTTAGGACTTGGTCTGAGACACAAGACATGGGACAGGTATGGGATTTCCTTACCTGTGACACAAAGGAACAGGGGGTCACTCGGGGCCGACCACTCATAGAGAGAGTCCCTGACAGAGCCATAGCATCTGTAGGTCCCTCCGCAGGTTGCAGGGCCCACAGGGAAGTCAGCCCCCAATGCACCGTGGTGGCTCCGCACTGTAGGGAGCCTGTGGCCACAGGCCTCCCCCTCCCTGCATAGATGGTACACGTCAAATGGGATCTCGGAGCTGCAGGACAAGGTCACGTTCTCTCCTGACCTCACCATGGGGCCCCGCTGGACTGAGAGGGAAGGTTTCCTGTGTAGACCTGGAAGAAAAACAGAGGCAGTTTACCTAGAAAGGCTTTTCCTTACCACACCGTGCTTCCCTACCGAGCGGAGAATTTGCTCTCCCAGCTCTAGTGAGCTGATGTGCTGGTGGGCGTTCCCTCTCCCCCATCCTCCCTCTCTTTTTCTGTCTATTTTTCTCCTTCTACTTTCTGTCTCTTGCTCTCTGACTCTCTAAGTCTCTGACCTCACTCCCTATCCCCAGATACATTTTCCCCTTTTGTATTTTTTACTCTCTCTGCCTCTCCTTGACTTGGTTGATTGAATCTGTCTTTCTTTTCCTTTCACTGTGAGTCTCCCACTTTCTGTCCTGTCCCTAACTTACTTACTTTCTTTCTTCTCTATCTGCCATCTATCTCTGTCTTCATATCTTTCAAAAATCCTCTTTTGGCATTTCTGCCATCCACCCCTACATCCCCATCTTTGTTTATCTTTGTGCCTCTCCCCAGGTCTCTGATTTTTAGGGGTTTTCTATGCCCCCCCCATCCCATCATTCTCTCCACTTCTCTGTCCCCTATTTCTTTCTTTTTCTGTGTCTGTGAAATTCTCAACTCTCTTCCTCTGGCTCATTCTCTCTTCCTCTGTATGTGTGCCCATCTCTACTCTTCTATGTCTCTACTTTATTTCTGTCTGGTCCCCTCTGTGGGTTTTTGTTCTTAGTAATCCTTTAACATTCAGGGTTGCTTTGGAACATGAGCCTCAGATTTTGTGTGGGGACCCACAGAACACACAGCGTACAGCGGCTCATGTCCTGCTCCTTCCCTTGGTGCCATGAGATCCTGGGACAAGTTATGGCTCAACCACATCGAAGGAAGAGGTGTCAAAATAGACACAGCATCTGTGGGTGACACGTGGTTCGAGGCCACAGGGACAAACTTGGGTGAGGTACATGGTAAGTCTTTAGGTTCTTCTGGTTGAAAAGAGAGTGTGGAGGAAAAACAGAAATCAAACTTCTAAACCATCCCAGGTCCCTGGGCAAAGACAGGATGGAAGGACACTCTCTCTCTGATATGTGCATATCTGTTTGCCTCCTTCACTCTTGACCTTATTTCTGCCTCCCTGCTCTTTGCCTGTACCTGTCCTTGATGTCATGCCCAGTGGTCTGCACTTGTGTCTCCTTTTTCCTTGCCTCTGCTGTTGGTGTAGCTCTCACCAGGTCTGTCTCTCTCCACAAGAATCCCACATTCATCCTTCTCACGACCACCTGGCTCTTCCAAGGGCTAGAACATCCGGTCTGTATCCCAAGGAGGATGAGGGGCAGCCTGGACACTCTCACCTGTGATCACGATGTCCAGGGGGTCACTGGGAGCTGACCATTCATAGGAGGAGTGATTGGCAGAACCGTAGCATCTGTAGGTCCCTGCATGGGCAGGTGTCACAGGACCCATGGAGAAGTTGGCCTGGGAGCATCCATCATGGAGCTTCCCAACAAGGCGCAAGGGGTCCTCGGTTTCCCCCTCTCTGTGCAGAATCAGAATGAAGCTCTCGAAGACAATTTCTGAGACACACTGTAGGGTCACATTCCCTCCTGAGTTCACCAGGGGACTTGGGTGGGCCAACAGGGAAGGTTTTCTGTAGACTCCTAAGAACAGACATTGTGAGTTTAGAAGGCATCACCCTTTGTGACTCCAGTCCGTGGGACTTGGAAGGAGTGAGGGTGTCCCTGTGTCCATCTCTCTCCTTCCTCCCTGTGTGTCCGTGTCCTTTCCCGTGTTTGTGTCCCCTCTGTGTAGTTCCCTCCATCTCCCCCCGGACTTGTCTCTGCTGCTTTGTCTCAAGTAGCACCAGACTCTGTTCCCGCTGTGCTCCTCTTTGGCCCTTTGGCTGTTGTGTCTGTTTCCCGCCAATCTCTCTCCTACCTTCTAAGGCGGGAGAGAAGAGGGGCCACTACAGGCTGCATTTCCAGGCTCTTACCAGCCTGGCTCCAGCGCCTCTGGACAAATTGGAATCCTTGGCAAGAGGTAAGAGCTAGTCAACAAGGCAGGTAACAGGGAACTTCCCCACGTTTACCCAACCTATTCCTGTAGGGGATTGAGGGTCATCTCCCACCGTGCCTGTGCCTTCTCTGTGGTCCCGGTTTCCCTGGGGTGGCCCTGAGTCTGGCTGCAGGAGCACCGGCCCCTCCCTGTGTGGGTCCAGCCTGGTGCTGGCGTCAGCATCCTGCCCTGCCCCACCTCCCCTCTTGGCTTCTTAATTTGCCCTTGACCTGGAGACGCTTTTACTAGTTTCCTGTTGCTGCTGTAACAAGCTCTCACAAACGTGGTGGCAGAAGGGAACCCTTTTACTATCTGCCCTTCTGGAGGTCAGAAGTCTGGAAGCGTCTCACTGGTGTGAACAAAGGTGTCTGAAGGGCTGTGCTCTTTCTGGAGACTCGGGGAGAATCCGTTCTTTTGACGTTTTCAGCTGCTAAAAGTCACCTTTGCTCCTTGGCTCCGGGCGCTTCCTCCACCTTCAAAGCCAGGGTGGCTGGTGGGGTCTCTCCTGCTGCATTGCTCTGACCCCACCCCACTGCTTCCTCTTCCTCTCAAGTGGCCCTTGTGGCCACACTGAGCCCACCCTAATAATCCAGAGTAGTTGCCCCACCCTGAGGTTGACTGACTAACAACTTCCATTCTGTTTTCAGCCTTCATTGCCCTGGAAATGTGACCTAACGTATTCCCAGATTCGGGTGTTTTGATAAGCACATCATTGGGGACCATTATCGTGCCCACCACCATGCCCAATTCCCTGTACCGACCCCCTTTATCCAATGTACGTGGAGAGGTTTCTGTTCTTCCCACTGGACCCTGACTGACACGCCCACCAGAAACTCTGGGATGGAGGATGTCGACACAGTGAAAACCACCCCGGACAGGAGCCCTCTGACCTGTGACCACGATCACCAGGGGGTCGCTGAGTGCTGACCACATAGAGGTGGAGGAAAGGTAAAATCCATGACATCTGTAGGTCCCTGCGTGTGTTGCGGTCACAGGCCCCATGAGGAAGTTGCTCTGGAATATTCTGCTCCGGAGCTCAGGGACGTGGGCCCCGTCTTCCTTGTACAGCCTGAACATGTTAAACCCAGGATGAGAGTGACACCGAAGACTCACGTGATTTCCTTGAGGCACCACAGGGCTTGGCCGGGCAGACAGGGAGGGCTTGTGGTGACCACCTGGGGGAGCGGGAGGCGAGACATGGAGAGGAAAATGTGGAGCCGCCGCCGCCCCCATGCTCAGGGGCTCCCCACCCTCAACATGTTCCTAAGGCTTCTTTCCAAACCCGGGGTCCCAGGGCCACGGGGAGGACGCGCCACCGCATCCTCACGACATGTCTTCCCACAACAAAAGTGTCGGCTGGGTATTTTGAGCAAGTACCGAATGAGGGACTATTACTAGATTTTAACAATGTAAAATCAGTTCCATGAAACAACTCGGAGACATGGAATAGAGAGTAAGATCTATGTGAGTGAAATAACGTCAGCCAGCAGGTGAATCGCATCGAGCAACTGAGCCTTCATCAGAGTATTTGGACTTTCAGGGGCCCTGGCACGTGGTTCCCCCACGTGCCCTGGTAGAAGGACAGCAGCCGCCTGCGCAGCTCCTGTCGCCGTGGAAGTGCTGGGGAACATGGAGAACGTTAGTTACCATCCCCTTCAGAGGGGTGGGCTTATCCCAGCACTGCTGCCTCCGGTTCCTCCCCAGGTGACACCACTTCCTCCCCAGGTGCCCCAGCTCAGAGTGCCATGATCTCCTCCAGGGGCCCACAGAGCTTGGCTCGCCCAAGGGTAAGAATGGCTGGGGAGGGTCTCCAGAACAGAATGGGGGCCAGGTGTCCCAGGGCCCCCCTTTTCTCACTCGCAAAAGATTCACCCACAGGGCTTCCCATGGTCACACCATTGACCCCACTTCCTGTGCTGCCTGCCCTTCTGTGATGAGAAAATTCTCTTACACGGGCTGGATGGCAACCCGAGGTTTGGGGAAGGACTCACCCGCATGTGCCCAGATCCCCTGGACCAAGAAGAACCCTGGAAAGAAAGAACCTGATGGACAATCCTTCTCCACACCGACCTGGCCTCCTCCTCCTGCCCGGCCTGGGCCGTGCTGGGCTAAACACAGACAGCCCTCAGTGCCCAATGGCCCCCAGGGAAGTAGGGTTCCCGCAGTGGAGAGACCCAGCCTCTGGGTCAATGTCTCTGCCGTGGGGTTCCCTCCCTCCATCCCCTTCCAGGACTCACCAAGACACTCCAGACTGACGAACGTGGGTGACATGGTGCTGCTTCTGCTGTTGGGAGCACCGCCCCAGTGATGCTGGCAATGCACAGGATGTTGTGCGGGGGCCCAGCTCATGCAGTCTGCAAGCTGACCACAGCATGGGAAGGTGACACATGTAGGCTCTTTCTACCCTGTGTGAGACTGGGGGTGGGTGTCCAGCCAATGGGGGAATGTGGCTTCCTGGAAATTGCTCAGACTAGAATTGTCACTTCACATCATTTACTGTGGCCGGACTTGAAACACAATCCCTCCGACTCAGACTGATCCAATTGTGCATTCACAGTGAAGGCCGTTGATGCGTTTCTGTTGTTTTTATTTGAGAATCAAACTCTTCTTCATGTGTCGTTTACAATATATCTGGCAGGTATTTTTAACATTATAAGAGCAATTGTGACAAAGAAATCATCATACCTTTCCGTGTTGGTATTTCTGTTATAGATTGAGCAAGAACCAATTAAAATTATTTAAATTTCCAGTAGTAGGATTATGCAGTTGTTTATAATCATAGAATTCCACTTTATTAGCAAAAACACAACATGTAAATTTTGCATCTTGTAGTTTTATTAGAATTTGTCTTGTGACCTGAGTCTAAACTCATTGTTCTCTCTCTCTGTTTCTCTCTCTTTTTTTTTTTCTTTTGAGAGAGAGTCTCGCTCTGTTGCCTGGGCTAGAGTGCCGTGGAGTCAGCCTAGCTCACAGCAACCTCAAACTCCTGGGCTCAAGCAATCCTCCTGCCTCAGCCTCCCGAGTAGCTGGGATTACAGGCATGCCCAGCTAATTCTTTCTATATATTTTTTAGTTGTCCAGCTAATTTATTTCTATTTTTAGCAGAGACGGGTCTCGCTCTTGCTCAGGCTGGTCTCGAACTCTTGAGCTCAGACGATCCTCCCACCTCGGCCTCCCGGAGTGCTAGGATTACAGGCGTGAGCCACTGCGCCCGGCCCTCTGTTTTTCATTTTAAATTATACATAAATGTCAATTAACACAATGCTATAGGAAATCAACCTTACAATAGCCAAATATAAATGTCAGAAAGAAAACTCAAGAACATTTCAAGATAAACAAACTGATAACATCCTCTAGCTTGAATACCAGAACACTGCAATAATCACATGACAAATCTCCCTCTGTATTCTGCCCTTGTTCTGTCTGTTACTTGACCCTCAACTTTGTGAAAATTGTGGAAACTTTCTTTTTTTTTTCTTTTTCAGAGATTGACAAATTTGTATTGAAATTCATCATTTTCCAAAAAAGAGAAAAAATAAGGGAGCTTTAAAAAATTTCAAATGCAATTTTTTATTCATGTACAAAACTGTATTTGTTGTATCCCTACTTCCAGCTCCCCAAGTGTAGCCCCTGATAACTGTACTTTGGTCTTTTTTTTTTATTTCTGCATATTGTGGGGGTACAAATGTTTAGGTTATGTATGTTGCCCTTGCCCCTCCACTCCCCCCGCAGTCAGAGCTTCAAGCATGTCCATCCCCCAGATGTTGCACACTGCACTCATTATGCGTGTGTATACCCATCCCCTCCTCCCCGCTCCCGTCTGCCTGAAGCCCGATAAATGTTATTCCTATATGTGCACTTAGGTGTTGATCAGTGAAACCAATTTGCTGGTGAGTACATATGGTGCTTATTTTTCCATTCTTGGGATACTTCACTTAGTGGAATGGGTTCCAGCTCTATCCAGGAGAATACAAGAGGTGCTAGATCACCATTGTTTCTTATAGTTGAATAGTACTCCATGGCATACATATACCACATTTTGTTAATTCACTCAGGTATTGATGGACACTTGGGTTGTTTGTGGAAACTTTCTTATTCTGTATTGTAAATAATTTTACCACAAAAGTATCTATTTGTAAAACTAATGATTTTTATAAATTTTATATGTGTGTGTTATATGTGTGTGTTTATACAATCACATACCTAAGCACTAGTGTATATTGTTGTTTCCAGTTTTCAAAAACATAAACTTCGCATCTTACTTTCTCTTTCTCACATTTATAATTCTATAACACATATATTTGGAATTTCATAGCTCTATATTATTCTTTGAATTGCAGTACAGTAGTCCTTGCATTACTATATCAACACTTACCTATGCATTCTTTTATTTTATTTTTTAATTGGCACATAATAATTGTACATATTTATGGGTCCCTGATGATGTTTGGATATGTATTAAGTATAGTGTGATCAGATCAGGGTAATTAACACATCTGTCTTCTCATGTATCATTTTTTAATGTTTATTCTTACTATGACCATTTGTGTTATTTCTAAGTTTTCTCTTTCATGACTCAAGCCTCCGTGATCATTCTTTGTGTAATCCCTTGCATATATATGCAGAATTAATCAGACATAAATAATGCCCAGAACAGAAATTATTGATTTTGGGGGCAAGTTGATGTTGAGCTTAGCCAGAGAAAGCCAAAATATTTCCAACATGATGAAATGTGGCCAGGACAACAACATTTATCAATTCTGCTGTTTCTTTTAAGAGCAAACTTTTGGTTTCATTGATTTTTCTCTGCTGTTTGTCATTTACATATGCGTGTACATACATATGCATTTTTGCTTATTGTTTTATACTGTTCCTTGAATATTGAAATAAATTTTCTTACATTAAGTATTTCTTAAAGTGAAAGTTAGATCATTACTTAGATCTTCCTTCTTTTCTAAGATAAACAGTTGAGGCTTAATGTCCCTTAAAACACTGTTTTATTTGCATGAAAAGTCATTCAATAAGGTGTGTTTTCATTTTTAATCGATACAAAATATCTTCTATTTTTTGAAATGATTTTCTTCAGCTTATTGGTTATTTAGATGTGTGCTTATTACTTCCCATCATCTGATGACCTACCAGGCATCTCTTTGTCATATATTTCTAATTTAATTCAACAGTTATCAGAAGTCATATTATCTATGATTCAATATTTACCTTGGTGAATGTTCCATGGGCAACAGAAAAGATCATGGATTAGGAAGTTTCAGGATGAATGTTTTCTAAATGTCAATTAGGTAAAAAATTATTTAAATGTTTTTGAAGTCTTTTGTAGTCTTGATTTTCTGTGTACTTGCTGTAGAAGTGAGGTGAGCATTGTTATCTGTAGCTATAATTTTGGGTATGACTGATTATGCTGTCAATTCTGTCTTTATTATAGTGTTTTGAGGTTCCAAATTTAGATATGTATACATTTAGAATGATTGCATCTTATTTGTGAATGCACATCTTTGTCATTATGAAGAACTCCTTTTTATATCTCCATATTTCCTACTTCTAGTGTTTTCCTACTTTTAGTTCTAAAATTATTATTGAGAGATACTTTTTCTATTATCGAATTTACCTGTTTTATGTATACAATTGACTATTAGTATATTTAGAATTGTGCATCATCACCACCATCTATCATTATTCCTTTACATTTTACTTACTTGTGGATTCATCTTTGAAATACAGCTCATGTAGACAGCATATGGTTGGGTGTTGATATAAAACTTTTCATAATTTCATATTTACCACTCCTGGCACTGTTACTTTTTTGAAATTCAGGTTTTTAACTAGTATCATTATTCTTCTGCCTCAATAACTTTTTTTTTTTGGTTTTGTATAATCTTTATTGAAAAAAAAAAGGCCAGTGCAATGGCAAGAAAACATCCATACTGTGTGGTAATATTTTGCACAATTAGGTAGTAAATTTTATACTAAAGACTACCAAGAGGCCGGGCGCGGTGGCTCACGCCTGTAATCCTAGCTCTCTGGGAGGCTGAGGTGGGCGGATTGTTTGAGCTCAGGAGTTCAAAACCAGCCTGAGCAAGAGCGAGACCCTGTCTTTACTAAAAATAGAAAGAAATTAATTGGAGAACTAAAAATATATAGAAAAAATTAGCCAAGCATGGTGGCGCATGCCTGTAGTCCCAGCTACTCGGGAGGCTGAGGTAGGTGGATCGCTTGAGCCCAGGAGTTTGAGGTTGCTGTGAGCTAGGCTGATGCCACGGCACTCTAGCCCGGGCAACACAGTGAGACTCTGTCTCAAAAAAAAAAAAAAAAAAAAAGACTACAAGAGCAAAGCAAGATTTTCCATTTAGTAGACTCTAATTGATTTTTTAAAATTTTATTTCAGGGTATTATGAGGGTATGAACATTATGGTTACACTTTATGTCTTTGCCTCACCCAAGCGAGGCTTAAAGTGCCTCAATAACTTAACATTTATTGTAGAATAAAGCTTCTAATAACAAATTATTTCAACATTTAGTTGCCTGAGAAATTTTAATTTTTATCTTTATTGCAGAGACATCTTTTTTTGAGGTAGTAGGATTCTAGTTTGAAATATTTTCTATTAGCAATTTAAAAATGTTGATCCATTGACTTTTCACTTCCATAGTTTCGAATTTGAAGTGTGTTGTCATTCTCATATTGCTTCCTTTTTATATAATGTGAGTTCCCATTTACAGATACCAGGGGTTAGGACTTTAACACACCTTTTTGGTGGAAACGATTCTACCCATGACATCCATCCTTGGTTATCTCCAGTTATGGAGCCTCCATCAATACTCTGTGGAATTCTCTAAGCTTCCCAACTCCCTGCCCCCATCCTCGTGCTCATTAATGACTTGGATAGTATAGTAATTTTTCCTTCCCTGCTGACAAAACAATAGGAAAAGGGGAAAAGGTTAGCTTGAGGTAGAGAATAATTCTTATTTTGTTCACTGGCATAAGTTTCCCAAGGGGGAACATTTTCTAACCCATTATCACCTAAAAGTAAAACACAAGATGTGCACATTTCCTGAGTGTGTAATTTGGAGGGATGGTGTTAGAGATCACTAATTATACTCCATTGTTTTTCCAGAGTTCACCAATTCCAGCAATGAAAAGACAGAATCATTTAGTGTCTATTCATAGCTGTATCTATATCTGTATCACATGTTATCTGTCTACATCATCTTTGTCTATATCTATTACATCAGGAAAAAAGCACCCAACTGCACAAAGTATCAGCCCCACACTATGCATTACATCCATTTTTAAGAGGCCATTGCAATGTTCTATCAGCCCCTGCAGCGCCCAACTGCTACCTTGTCCATATCCTCATCTCTG